TATATATATTAAAACCACAGAAAAAAATTAAGGAAGTCTATTTTGATTTTTTCATTTTTATATTATTAGTATCTAAAAATATAAATTGAAAAATTATTAACTTGTCAGAAACTAATTCATCAGATTCGTCTAATCAATTAAATTCGCGTTTCATAAAACTTTTTTACAGATCTGCGCAATATTATTGCAATACATTAGTGTTGAAAAAGAATCATAAATGATAAACAATCAATTATCAGAATTATAAATCTAATGATTCATCTAGTGATTCAAAATAAAAAGACGAAACAAGAAAGCAAAGAAGGAAAACAAGTTGAAATGAAGAAGTTAAATGAATGTAATAGAAATTGAGATTAATTGAAAATTATTATATTACAACTGTCAAATATGAAAATTTGAAATTGTGATTAAAAGATCAATTATATATAAAAATTATATGAAATTTGAAATTAAAATTTTTCAACAAGATCTTTATTTTATAAAATTGAAATTATATATTTTTAAGTATAAAATGTAAAACGCTGAAACAAAAAATTAACAATGAAAGATAATATTATTCGATATGTATGTGATTTTATAACTTTCAATAGGTATTCTTTATTATTCTTTATAGAGTCTAATACGAATCTGCAAACCGTTTTTCAGAATCCATATTTTTTAAAAAAATTTTTTTAAAAAATTGAAATTCTTTTTAATTTTAGAAATATTTATTTTTACAATAATAGTTGTTCAGTTCGATTCATGATACGAAATGATTCTATAAATTTTCACAAACAAAACAATAAATAGTTATTAAATTATAAACATCTAAATATATAATATTTAAATAATAATCTAAGTTAAAAGGACTAAAAATGCATTCGCTTTTTCTGATATTTTTCAATTTATTTTAAAAACTAAGAATCTAGGAGAAAATTTAAGTATATCGTGCGATAGAGCGAATCTTTCTGTTAAAAAAAAGAATCAAAAGAAACTACAAAATCATTTTTATTTTCAATGTAGAAGCTAAATAGTTTGACAAAATATGCGGTAACGACAATGTTACTCAATGAGCGATTGTTTTTTCTGCCATACAGCATATCGGAATCGCGGCAAAGCAGTTTTTTGTTAAAAGCAATTATTATTCTAAAAATATATAATAATTAAAAATTTTTAAAATTACAATTTTTTCTAAATTAATTTTTATAAGTTCTAGCGAAAATCGTTTGCAGATTCGTATTCAGTATATTAATTTCTATAAGAAATACATATTGATTATGAAATTGAAAAAAAAAAATTAAAATTTGTCAAAATAAAATCAATATAATTTATATATATTTTTAAGCATCATGAATATTTTTATTGTATAAATATCTTTTTAAATAATTAATCGATAAATTAGTTGTACTAAGAATAATCAATCTTTCGTTGATATTCTAATGTTATTATTACGAAGGTATATATATATATAGTAATCTAATCTTCAAGAGAATAAAATGCCATAATACAATTAGTAATTCGACATTTTATTAATTTCAAGGAACAAAGGAAACTGTAGGTATATTACAATATTAGGCAAATTATGAAAAACTATTGATCAAAATGTATCTTCTTCCGTATTAATTTTAATGTATTGTGGCAAGCAGATATTTTGTCTTGTAGCACAGGTATTCGGTGATTATAAAGCAATACGCGCAGCAAAATACCAAGAAATAGATTAGTTACTAATACATATAGATATGGGATTTATTAAATATCAATCAATACGTTGATATTATATGGTATCACCATATCATATAAGTAGGTACAATGTGGTTGTGCATTGCAGTTTCATAGAAAATATGCTGTTAGCTTAAATAACTATACGCATGGTACGCCATTACTCTATACCACGTCAGTCCAGTAGCGATATCGTTTGTGTACTGACTTATTATTGAATCAGCTCGATTAGAGCAAAGTTTAAAGAATCAGTCACTGCCAGCTCTATTTTTTCGGCATTTTCCTAAGAATACAACATACGAATAATCCATACGAAGATGTTCCAGGAAAATGCCGCGTACATTGTATGCCGTACATATATTTAGCGATGGCAGTGAATAGAGTAAGCCCTCGTTTTCGAGTGACTAAGAATTTCTACTCTTTGCTTTTGCCTTCTCACAATCCTGTATGCACACACAGTTCCATCTTTTCTACCATCTTTTGTTTTTCGTTTGTTTCGACCGAATGTCGATGTATTGTACTGCTTCTCACAGTTTCTTATACCAAAACAGATAATGATCTCCCTCGCTAATCTGTAGATCATCCACACCTAAAAAATCAACTTATTTAGATGGCAATCTTATAAAAATATTGAAATAACACAAACGCAATCTATAATTGATAATGTACAAATAGCAAAAATTAAAAATTACATGAAATTATATGAAATAAAACTATTTTTACATACCACCAGGTGCGACTAGTTGATTACCCGGTGGTGAAGTTGAATCTGGTGGAGAATTAAGGCGATATAACAACCAATAATGATAAGACATTGGCTCCTCCTTATAACCGGCTATCGTGTGGACATAATGTCCATTTGGCCATTCAGATGCGACGAACTGAAAATGTGGCGACATTTCTGCAGCTAGAAGCATCACTTCGTAAAATGTTTCATTTTTAGGAGCAGTCACTATCAAACTGTATGTCTCATTCACATTACTGCCAACCCATAAAGTATAAGAAACGTTCACCATGATTGGTGTTGCACTTGTAATGATTACGCCGTCTGTATTGTTCATGTTGAAAGTATTTGCTGTATTATTGCCATTGGTTCCACTATTGCTATTATTTCCATTAGTCCCGTTATTTCCAGTAGTAATATTACTTGTGTTGGTTCCAGAAATTACAAATATTGATACGCTATCGTTACGATTGCTTGAAACTGGCGCTGACTCTACAGTATTATAACGAATCGAAATATTTATAAAAATACATAATAGAAAAAAGAAAGAGAAATTAAATGAATGAAAGCAAAACAAAGAGGCTCACCGCTACCATTTGTAGTAAATTTTGGTGATGAAGTTTCAGAAAATCCTTGTCCGCAATCAAGAGTTCTAATGCTAGCTAAACCACGCGGTGCTATACCAAGTAGTGCCTCAGCGGTTACACGAACATCCCCAAAAGAACCATCGGTTTGTTGTTGACTTGTTAACCAAGCTAAAGCGGCAGATCTATTCCAATTATCAGCAGGCTCATTTTCTACCTCTTCAAGAGCTTGCATTACCAAAGCCGTTGTTCGTATGTCTCCAAAACTACCATCGAGTTTTTGTTGTTGTGCTAAGCCAACCGATGGTTCACGCACAAAATGATGAAGATTTCGATGTCTGTGATCCTGAACGATGCACTTTAAGGCCAAGATTACCATTGCAACAGTATCTAAAATCGGAAAGACAAATTAAAAATTGTCTACAATTATTTTAGACAATTAATTAATTATTTATAAGAAGGAAACATCAATTCAAAAGCTAATTATATATAACCTAGATAATATCGGAACGATAATACTCACCAATATTATGATCTTGAGCAGCGTTTGCAATATCTAATAACCGACGTATCTGTCTCTTTCGTACGTGAGCTTGTGCATTACATGCAGCTAATGTTGTTAACGCAAATTCAAAATCAGTCGGTGGCTCATGATGTTGAAGCGTTCCGATCAAATCATGGCCATGGAATTGTCTTGGATCTGTGCACATAGCGTTTAAGGCAAGTGTATAGCGTGCTAATCGAACAGGAGAAAAATTAACTTCTCTATGCCTATAAATAATATAATATGTTACACAATTACATTTCTTTATTATAACATTTAACAAATAAAGATTAATCAATTTTTATTTATTTATTTCGTTAAAAAATGAATTTGAACATTCTATTCTAAATCTACTTTCATCATGTAAATAAAAAATATATTATAAATATTACCTCCACAATAGTAACACTATTTCAAGTTCCATTTGTTTACTACTCAATTGTAGTTCGAGAGGAGCTGCAGGTGCAACATTATCATCTCGCGAGAGATTGCTCAGTCGGAGAACTAACAAAACTCGATGAGTATCGTTTCCCCAACCGGCATCTTTATTACGTTGGCTCCACAACCATGTAGTTGCGCGTTCCAAAATGTTTTCTGCGTTGATATCGCTCGAACCAGATTCCGAGATGGTATCTACAATAAATGACAAGCTCTTTTTTCTATTTTAAACTATCGCTTTTTTCTTTATCATTTTTTTCATTGAATTAAAAAATAAAAATCTTGTTAAATATTGAAGTACGAATAATTTGGTGTAGAATGGCTAAGACAAAGTGACCCAAACCGATAGTTCTAAATTTATTTAATTTTCATTATTTAATTATCATTATCGCCGAATATTAAGTCTGATGGGTTAAAAATAATTTGATCGTATCGTATTAATAATAAGAAAATACTATACCTTTGGCATATACAATATTCAACGCGCACAAATATGTTAAAATCAGAACCATTACAGCTGCCATACTTGCTCTTCCCCACATTTTCACTGAATATTGAACAATACACATAAATAATGTTACCTGTAAAACAATATACATAATAATAAAAATGTTCAATCATTTTCTTTGTTGAAGCTAAATATTTAATTAACACCTTACTATTTTGTATTCACACTATACTATATATATTACTCTTTCGGCTTCTGTTATATTTGAGTAATTTCAGAATCTTAAAAATATCATTCATTAATAAAAATTATGGGTACTTAATTATCAAGAGTAATGATGAATATTGTTCAAAAATATATATGTTTAAATGATAGAGAAAATTAAAATAATCACCAGAATAATCAGACACTGGCAAAAAAAGATACTATTACCACCACCGCTACCAGCACGGCCACATTCAACGTCGCTACGCCCGCGGAAACGCTACTGGATACAACGCGATATTGCGTGGGATCGATATCGCGGCACTCGCCATCCTACGAGTCGATGTATATACATATACATACTACTTTCCAACTGTATAGGTAAATATGTGTCTGCTTTCTTTTTATGCCAGTGTCTCTCACCCTCACCCAGTCCCACTGTCACCCTTTTATTTACACTGTGTTCCAACTTTGACTCAATTATTATAATTTCGTTTTTTATTTTCATTGTGAAATTTATTCATGACTCCTTATCAGCTCTATTATACGCCTTTATGATCGTTTCTTTTTTTTTTTTTTCATGAAATCGCTAAAAAGATTATAAACTTTATTATTAATAAATAACCAACATTTGATTAACTTTTTTTTTACCTTAGAAATAAGAAATATTCTTAAACAGTTGGAATACAATAATGATAAAATTTCTAATAAATTTAATAATTATAAATGTTTAATAACATGTCGATTTTTTTATTGTATATTATAAATTATAAATTTATTATAAATCATGTTTTGTTTATTTATTGAAAGCATCGAATTTTCATATCGAATTTTAAATAAAAGAAAAATAATCGATGATATATTTATGATAATTTTAAGTAAATAAAAATTATCATTTTTTTACTCCATCTCAATTCTATATTTAACTTCTCATTTTGTGTAAATTTAAATATATATTTTTCATCTATTTTTTTTCTTAATTTTAATCTGCCTAAAAAAAAGTTTAGTTACAAAACCAATAATCATGAATAGCAATAAGCTAATGAAAACTATCATCTAAATTTAGTCAATATTCGTTTAATTTAGTCGATAATACCAAAAAAAAAAAAAATAAAAATAAGATAATATAATTGCGTTTATTTTATTATTAAAATTGAATAAGAAAGAAAAGAATAGTTAATTAGAAGAATAGATTAATTTTTTGTATATTATTTATATTTCAAATGTTATTTAAAAAAAATACAAAAAAAAATATTAAAAAATAGAATAAGAATAAAAAATATTGATTGAAAAATAATAATAATAAATTATAATATAATATATTATCATATTACATTCGATATATTACTTATTCCCTGAGAAAATCATAATTTAGATCAAGAAAAATTGATGTATTTCATGAGCATAAAATGTCGAAATAATACATGTAAATAGATATATGTATAAAATACATGCATATTATTTGCTTACCTTTCTAAAAATATGTTATTTTAAATAATTTGTATTTATTTTGCAACACACATTCACTCAAATGCATACAATATTTTCTAATATTAATATCTTTTAAAGCAATTAAACATTGAAGTATATTAACTTAAACTTATTGATACGACGCGAACAATCACTGTTGAGACCGATGCAATGAGAGGTAAAGGGTGTAAAGGGCTTCAAGATCGCCCTCTTTCTTTTGTTATCGCAATAAATTGAGGCGCCATATTTAAGATTATATTATTGACTAGATATATCTACATTCTATAAATATATGGATATTAATCTTATTTTATTCAATAAGGTAAATAAATACAAACTGGATGATATCATTTGTTAAATTTGAAAAAATAAAATTTATTCTTTTTCATTAATCATAAACAAACTCATGCGCGCGCATGAACATGTGCTACATCACATGCGAGGATAAAAATAACCTAAATACGAAATTCGCAATTTTGTATTTATCATTATATCATATAGCATTCACAATTAAATTCAAATTTAATTTTAACTATAAATATAAATTATAACATAGAATAAATCTAATATTGAATGCATTTTTTTGTTCATACCTCAGTAAAGTTGATTACTATTTTAGCATCATTCTCAATGTTATCAATTTGATTCAGAGTAAGATTGCAATATTAATAATGTTTGGAATTAAAATTAAATTTCAATATTTTTATTTGTTATTATAAATCAATATTTTGTAAACATATATAAAATATTGCACTTTATATCTAATTATATGTAAGTATTTATGAATATATAATTATGCACGTCCGTCTATTTTTATTATAGAACATTATATTTTTGTATAAAAATATAATAATGAACAGTTTTTTTCGGGGATT